AATGTTATGGCTATTACGTTCATTATGGCACTTTGTTGGAGTTTGTTAAAATAGTTGTTTAGGGAGAAGGGGATTTTTCAAATATTGCCGATTTTTGATTGCGTAGAATGTGCACATTCCTTGTGTTGTCTCTCTTGAATAATAGTCCTTTTTCTTTGGGCCATCAACTATTCCTTGATAGTAAAAACTGCTCTAGATAATACTTTCTGAACAAGACTTCCGTGGCAAGCTTTTTTATTTCTATTTTATTTTCTTCAACTAACAACTCATAGTCATCTTGCTTTTTGTACGTTAAAACCAGGAGTTTCGTGCCAAAAAGAAATTATGACTAGCTGAAAAAAATCTTGTACAATGTTTAAAAACATTATGCAGAATTTGTTGAGGATTGATGTCCTCATGTATAAATCTCCTGAAAAATTTAATAGAATATTAAACCGGATGTTTGGAAAAAAACTGGTTTCAAATTTACAACTAGCTATTAAAGTATTCCATTCTTTCTTCAAATTGAAAGAATTTCTGTCCCGGAATAGAGACTGTACTTTTTCTTAAGAAAATACCATGTCTACGCACAGTTACTCATACAGAAGGAGCCTATCGATGTACAAAATTATCAATTTGCACAAAACGGATGGCAGCAGAATCTCTTAGAATTCATTTGTCCAAGATATTTTATCAGATATCTTTCGGACAAGTCTACAGTTTTAAGCACATGTTCAATACCTTATCATAATTCCGCACGCTGATGTCTATCTTTTGCAAATGATTTGTAACTGCAGCGTAGAGGCAGGAGCAACACAGTCATTAAGCTAGCAGGTGCTGAGGCACCTCTTGACATTTTTCAAAGGTATGCTGCAAAACTTTAAATATAACCGTTTGATGAGCTAAGGCGCCAATTGGCGCCCTTTTGCTTGCTTTTCCCGGTAGGTCGAATGGTAGCCAGTCCGCCACTGGGACACACCATAAGTAAATGAAATTCATCTCCTAAAAACCTGTCGCTAAGCAGAAACTGCAATGTTTTTCTTCTCTAGGGATAGGGTTTTTACCAAAACGACCAGTTTCTACTTCTAGATTACGAGCGCTCAGTCTTAACCGTGGATGGCATCGTCTTTCGTTAAAGTCTTTGACAATGTCAAGATAGGATTCGAATTTGAAAAAAATTTTAACTTGAGCATATGTACATAATTTCTTGTTTAGTACAACGTGTATTTTAAGTTTGTTCATTATTTCACTCGCAAAATGACTTCTAACCTTAGATTTTATCGCAGCAGTGTTATCGTTGTGACTGATTTCGTATCTGGTTTTCAATTTGTGGGTTTTCGATACCCAATTGGGGGAGTCATTGTTTGTGCCGTTCGAGAGCGCTTCAAATGTACCTATCTGGTTCCAAATCAAGAAGGGACTCAAGCCTGAACAAGAATTTTAAGATATTTATGTGCCTGCTACACTGAATGGAAATTCTGTCCAATTCAGCGTAAATAGCGTCAGTGCAAGTAGTAGATTTGACCCTGAGTATGCATTTACAAGCAGAGAGATGTAGACGTCCAAGGGAAGGCCACTTATCAAATCCCTAGATTTCTGAGCCATAATTTATGAAGGGTACTATCATCTGGTCAAATAAATATAGAAAGAGTCCAGGCTGTATGCTGTAAACCATTCAACTTTTTGCATTTAGAAATTAAAGCAACATATGCTTTACCAGCTTTTTGCTTGACCTTTTCAATATGCTTGTTGTAAGAACCATTTGTCTTAAAAGTGACATCAAGATACTTGTAAGAATCACATTCTAAAACAGCATTATCTCCCAAGTACCATTTCTTCTTAGCTTTAGACTTCCGCTTGTTTTTTTTAAGCAGCATAATTTTGGTTTTGTTTACATTAACTTCCATCTGAACTTTAGTTGTGAAAACATTTAACTTATCTAGTTGGGACTGGAGATCCTCTGCTGTTGTAGATAAAAGTATAAGATCATCAGCATACATCAAGGTATGAAAAACGTTTCGTCCAAGCTGAACATCCTTTGTATTTAAACAAATCGAATCGTTCAAGTTATTGAAAAACATTGCAATAAGTATCGGGCTCAAAAGACAACCTTGCCTTACACCACGGTTGCAATCAAAAAAACTTGTAAGCCCGTCATTTGCTCTGGCGCATGATTTGACTTTACCATAAAGTGTTGTAATTATTTTATGAAATTTACCGGAGACACCAAGATCGGGTAGCTTTTCAATCAATAAGGTGTGATTAACAGATTCAAATGCCTTTTTTAAATCTGAAGTGGTGACTTTCTTCCCTCTAAAATTTCTTCTATAATGGAGTTTAATCAGGGGCGCAGTGGCTGGGGGGGGGGCAGGGGGGGGACAGCCGCCCCTCGCTGGCAAAAATTTTGTCGGATTGTCGGAAAATCCAACGTTTGTCGGATAATTTGAAATATTAGACAAAATGTAAGGTTTTCATCGATCCTGTCCGAAAGGTCGCATATTTTTTTAAACCTGTCGTAAAATAGGGCATGCTCAACCCTTCTTACTTATTTTCATTAGAGTATTTATCGGAATTATCGCATTGCTGAAATTTGTAAAGGAAATTAACGCTCTGATCTTTCCGACAGTTAAAATTCAACTCAGTTCATTTCGAAATGAATTCGCTGGTGTTGTAGAAGAAGCAAAAAGTTAATATTTTCGCCATGACTTAGAAGAGGAAAATTTTGTCGAGCGACGAATACGCAGAAAGAAAAAGATGTCAGGGGAAAATTGCATAGATGAATTAGAGGGAAATAGGGAATCCGTATATCATTGTGATTGTAGATACAGCTATCAGCTCAATGAATACAAGATTCACGTCTCATAAGGCGATTTTGACAGATTTTGCTTTGCTCAACCCCGAATGTTTTCAAAAAACAATTGAAAGGCAGTTGTGTGCAGTGTAATTCAAAAAGGTTGCGAAGAATAACGGCCTGGATGACGAAAAATTAAGAGATGAGTACAGCTCTTTCGTCAATAATTACCGTAAATTTTGGAAAGTTGCAACCCTCTCCCGGCTGCAGGAGAAAGAGAAAACTTTTTAGTTCCATTGAGTTCTTCAGTTGATAATAAGTATAACCTGCAAAGTGCCTTTCCACAGCTGGTCCTTTACAAGGTTCTCTTCACTTTGCCAATAGGTTCAACAAACTATGAAAGAGCTTTTTCAAAGCTGAGGATTGTAAAAAAATCGGCTACGGTCAACGATGGGACAAGACCGCCTTTCCTCTCTGATAACAATCAACGTCGAAAGTGATATTTTACAGTCGATAGACTATGGTGACATCATCGATTTGTATGCTGCCACATCTCTTTTGAGAAAGATGCTGCTTGAGTAACAGTTTATATAAATTTCAGTTAAAAGAAAACTATTCTTTTGGACGCGTTATATCTATTTAAGGTTTAGCATAAATAAATGCAAAGTAATTATGATGGGATTTAAAATTTGCCAAAAAAACTTTTTGCTATAAACAGCTATAAACACTGACTTGACAGTTTATTGTCTAGTATAGCGAGAAGACTTGTAGGGTGTAAATTTATAACTAGTTGCAGTTTTGTTTATAGCGATTTATATTTGGTAAGTTTTGTTAGAATAAAGGCTATTGTTGAACTTGAAGGTGTATAACGAACGATCCATTCGTTAACGATTTCCAGATCCATTCGTGATATTGTAGTATCAAGTGTTGCAGTATATGCAGCAAGGGTAATCTTCAAGGAATATATTGAGAAAAAATTTGTCGGAAAAATCATAGTTTTATCGGAAAATTTTCAGCTTTGCCCCCCCAAAAAGTTAACTCCCACTGCGCCCCTGAGTTTAATGTAAAAAGATGATCAGAAGTTTGAAGCCCTTTTCGGTAAGCAATTTGATTTTCGTTTACAAGTTTGTAACCATCCAGTACTTCAATAAGTCTATCAAGAAAGACACCAAGAAACAGTTTGCCAAAAATACTAAGAAGGGTGATACCCCTATAATTATCGAGATCAGATTTTTCACCACCTTTAAATACAAGTACTATCATGCCTACTGCCCATTCCTTAGGAAACTCTCCCGAGTCAAATATTTTATTGAATAATTTTGTGAAAACAATACAGACAGGGAATTTTGCATAACCATCTAGCAACCTGCCTAACCCAAGTTTTTAAAGTTTAAATCATAAGAGCAAAAACCAATGATCATTTTAAGCCTTGGGAACATTCGGGCAAATGACCGGGCGTTTCCGGAAGCATGAAAAATGCACGGTCAGCAAAATTTCGAATTTCAAATTTTTCAAATCTAATGATACCATCAGAAAGAACTTGCAAAACTGAGCAAATAGTATGAAAAGAGCAATGTGATCTGACCTATAAACAAAATGTAATGGCTGTAGAAACTTTTCGCTTTGTCAAACAACTTGCTTTCTGAAGTTTCTTTATAGTACAGACGCAGAGCTGTAAAATTGTGCATGTTATATTAATGGCATAAAGTTCGGTACAAGTACACAATCTGATATGCTGAGTAAGATGAAATACATATCAAGCTTCAAAAATGCCCCAAAAGCTATTTTTAGACTGGGGTACTGGTACCTAGTCCTCTTTTAGGTATAGCACTACAACGTTTTAACTTTGCAAGCTATAAAATTGAAACATTCTTTCTGCCGTTATTTGACGTGCTGAATAAAATAAGATACAAAAACAGCTTTAAGAATTTCACAAAAAGCAATTTTCAGACTATTGTACTTGTAGCCAGTTCTGTATTGGGTCTTGCTCCACAGCTTTGTAACTATACAAGTTATACGACTGAAACTTTGTTTCCTGGTGTAATCCGAAGTGCTAGATAAAAGGAAACGTTGGGCTAGGTTTCCAGAATCTCAGTTCCACAAAAAATAAAGTTGTGGCCTGGATATCATCTTAATGTGACATCCCATCATTTATGAACAGGATTATGAACAGGAACATAATCCCTAAGATTGGATTAAAGAAGACGAAGCAGCAAAAAGTAACATAAAATTTTTCCATATTATTTGAGATTCAAAATACGATAATCAATAATTGCTCTAATTGTGACGTGTAGTTAGTGCCAAGGCCTCAAAAGACGTTGCAGTATTGTAAAAAAGTGTACAGAAATACAAATATAATTATGTGAAATCGCTTATGTGAAATCACTATTTTTTTCGTCAACATGTTCATCTCTGACCAGGTCCTATGGTGACTCCAGAGCACCAATCAGTCCTTGTGCAGTATTGAACAAGTTGATGGGCGATTCGCCATCAGTAATAAGTGTTGACTTTAAACCCAAAGACTGCAACAATTTCACCTAAAAAAGATTTACCAAAATATGATTGGTTGCCTGTGCAATAATTCTGTTAGAAATATTTGAAAAGTCGTTGTAAAGCTGACAACTACCTTTAAATAAAGGAACAATTTCCTGATCTTAGAAATAAAATATTACTTTTATTACTTTTATACCAGACCATACCATATCTGTGTAATACAATACCAGAGAACACAAAAGGTGCTTGATTTTGACAGAAAAAAGGCATACCTGCATCTCTGGACCTGCTGTTGCAATGGCCTGGATGGTATTTGCCCCAATGGAGTCAACCATTTCCTTGAACTTGGCGCTATCGATCTCTGCCATTTCACTTGCCTTCTTGATTTCAAGCTCGTTCTGCTCCTTCACATAATGCGTCTCCGCTTCACGGGCTTTTGTCAGCCTGCCGAGTTCTGAGTCCTACAGTAAAATACAAAACTAAAGCTCAGGTGATTGTGTACAATTACATTAAAATATACAGCATGATCAGTACTTGGGCATCAAACTAATTTCAGGGAATACATTTTCAATTTAGAAATAAAGATTACAACAAAAACTGCATGAACTTTGTAACAAGAAAAAGAAGTATAAAATTTCACAAAGGAACAAACCGCTTCAATCGATGCAGCTTGGGCTTTCAGTCTAGCTTGCTGCACAGCAGCCTCGCCTTCGATTCTCGAAGCTTCAGCTCGAGATTGCGCCTCTGCCTTCGCCTGCCCAGTGGACTCAACAGCAGCGCTCTGGGCTTGCAGCTCGAGTAGTTCTCTGCGTGATTTTTCAGCTTCAGCCTCATCTGAGATCTTCTGGCGTTCAAGTCTCCCTTTTGCTTCTTGTTCAAGCCGGTCAGCTTCATGTCTAACAACAACATTTTAACAAAATCGAATTGATAAAAAAACCAATCAAAACGCTATGCACGTGTCACATGTGGACAAGTCATTACTATTTGCCTGGAAAATATGGAAAATAAAACCGAAACGAGCTTACATTAACTTCTTAAGGGAGTGACTCTTCGTGCTTCTTAAGCTTCACAAAAGTTGTATCGTGATTTTATTGTTTCTGTCAAACTTGTTCATGAAACGAAAAACACAATGACGACAACAGCAACAGCAGCAACAATGGCAGAAACAAAACGATTGCAACTGACCTTGCAGCAGCCTCTTGTGAGGCAGTAGTGATCTCGATTGCAAGCTGAACTGATTTCTGCAAAGCGTCTCGGGTGCGTTGGTCTACAGGCTCAACCGACTGAATGTCAACACTCGTGATGTTGAGGTTGTTGGCAGGGAAGGTGAATTTGTCACGAACCTTCATCTTGTCATCAAAGCCGAACACAGAAGAGCGGATGATTTTGGCAGAGTTCTGTTGATTGAAATAGGAAGACCTTCATTAATTCATAAATTGGTGAATAAAACTCAAGGGTTTACAATAACAGATTCCAGGAAGTGGGTGATTTGGAGGGGAAAATTTGTTGGAAGAAGATAGCAACAAGGTAGGGCCATGAAAACAACAATAAGGTCACAAGCATGTGACTGATACACTAAATAGGCATATGAAACACAAAGTGCTTTCACCTTAAGGCCAAGCCCTCCTCTCTTTTAGACAATAAAAGAGACGAGCATAAGAAACGAGCAAACGGGGATAGCAAGATAGATGAGCAAAAGAGAAAATCAAAAGAGATGAACAAAAGAGATGAACAAAAGAGATGAGCAAAAGAGATGAGCAAACAAGAAAAGAAAAAGAGATGAAAAAAACAGATGAGCAAACAAGATGAACAAATGAGATGAGCAAAAGAGATGAGAAAAAGAGATAAGCAAAAGAGATAAGCAAAAGAGATTAACGAAAGAGATGAACAAACAAGATGAGCAAACGAGATGAGCAAAAGAGATGAGAAAAAGAGATAAGCAAAAGAGATAAGCAAAAGAGATTAACGAAAGAGATGAACAAACAAGATGAGCAAACGAGATGAGCAAAAGAGATGAGAAAAAGAGATAAGCAAAAGAGATAAGCAAAAGAGATTAACGAAAGAGATGAACAAACAAGATGAGCAAACGAGATGAGCAAAAGAGATGAGAAAAAGAGATAAGCAAAAGAGATAAGCAAAAGAGATTAACGAAAGAGATGAACAAACAAGATGAGCAAACGAGATGAGCAAACGAGATGAGCAAAAGAGATGAACAAAACAGATCAACAAAAGAGATGAGCAAACAAGAAAAAGAAACGAGATGAGCAAACAAGAAAAACTAAAGAGACGAGTAAACAAGAAAAGCAAAAGAGATGAGCAAACAAGAAAAACTAAAGCGATGAACAAAAAAGATAAACAAAAGAGATGAGAAAAAGAAATGAGCAGAAGAGATGAGCAAACAAGATGAGCAAAAGAGATGAACAAGACAGATGAGCAAAATATAAGCAAAAGTGATGAGGAAAAGTGATGAGCAAAAAAGATGAGCAAAAGAGATAAGCAAAAGGGATGAGCAAAAGAGACGAGCAAACAAGAAAAGCAAAAGAAATGAACAAAAGAGATGAGCAAAAATATAAGCAAAAGTGATGAGAAAAAGTGATGAGCAAAAAAGATAAGCAAAAGGGATGAGCAAAAGAGATCAGCAAAAGTGATAAGCAAAAGTGATGAGAAAAATTGATGAGCAAAAAAGATGAGCAAAAAAGATGAGCAAAAGAGATAAGCAAAAGGGATGAGCAAAAGAGATGGAAAAAACAGATAAGGAAAGAGAAAAGCAAAAGAGATGAGCAAACAAGAAAAACTAAAGAGATGAGCAAAAAAGATAAGCAAAAGAGCTGAGCAAAAGAGACGAGCAAACAAGAAAAGCAAAAGAGACGAACAAGACAGATGAGCAAAAATATAAGCAAAAGTGATAAGCAAAAGTGATGAGAAAAAGTAATGAGCAATAAAGATAAGCAAAAGAGAAAAACAAAAGGGATGAGCAAGAGAGAGGAGCAAAAGGGATGAGCAAGAGATGGAAAAAACAGATGAGCAAAAGAGATAAGGAAAAGAAATGAGCAAACAAGAAAAGCAAACGAGATAAGTAAAGGGATGAGCAAGAGAGAGGAGCAAAAAAGATGAGCAAAAGAGATGAGCAAACAAGAAGAGCAAAAGAGACGAACAAGACAGATGAGCAAAAATATAAGCAAAAGTGATAAGCAAAAGTGATAAGAAAAAGTAATGAGCAATAAAGATGAGCAAAAGAGATAAGCAAAAGGGATGAGCAAGAGAGAGGAGCAAAAGGGATGAGCAAGAGATGGAAAAAACAGATGAGCAAAAGAGATAAGGAAAAGAAATGAGCAAACAAGAAAAGCAAACGAGATAAGTAAAGGGATGAGCAAGAGAGAGGAGCAAAAAGATGAGCAAAAGAGAGGAGCAAAAGATGAGGAAATGGTATGGTCAAAAAAGATGGACAAAAAAGATCGGCAAAAAAATGAGCAATCCATATGAGCAAACAAAGCACATAAATAAGCACTTGCCTTGTGGAAGTCGTCAAATTTGACCCCGGCAACAGCACCTCTCACTCTCGATGCAATTGCTTTACAGAGATCACCAACAAAATCTGGCACAGAGAACAACTTAGCTTTGTCTTCGTCACTCTTTGGATCAACAAAGAAGTTCCTGCAAGGCAAGCATAAGCTCAACATTTAAGTCTGGGTGCAAAAAGCCTCAAAGCAAAAAAAACTAAAGTATTGTAATTGACAGAAAGTCTCAAGGCTGGGGCACATGTATCATTTGCATTGGCACATAGGTATCGTAAAAACCAGATGTAACTCTAAATTTCAATCTAAAATTTTCTTTCAGCTAAATAATATGAATGAAAGAAATAAAAACCAAATGCGTTGATTAATATCGACTAGAAATGTAAAAATGAATAGCAAACATATAGACTCACCAATTGTATGAAAGCTGAAGCGACAGTCTTGCGTGATCTGCCGTTTCCACAACAACAATATCAGTACAGAAGTCTGGGCCGAGGAGGAGACAAAGGGCTTTTATGACATTTGGTCTCTTGGGCTTGCCCCCAGACAGACTTAACAGAGTGAATTGCTCATCAGGTCCGAGCATTACAAGGTCTGGTCCAAACACAACCCTGAAAAACGACAATTCATAATTGTCATCCTCTGAGAATTTATTGCTATATGTTTGGCATGCAAAAACTACTTTGAAGGAAAGACAACAACAGGATTCTTACGACTTATATGATTGATACTGGAAACAGAAATTTGACATGGTAAGAGTGTACAGATTTCTATAAGAAAAAAGGTAAATTATCAGTCGCTTTAGCTGTGAAAAGCAACGAAATGTAAATTCTGCTTTTGCAACTTTTAAGGTTGAAAGATTTACTAGCTATAGAAAACATTTCATCTTAACATTTTAATATACTTTAACATAAAATAAAAATTACTGTCTACAGGCCTGCTCGATGCCGCATAGGCAGAGACGCTATTTGGTGTATAGAACAGGACGGGAATTGCCGATACATTCAGGAACATGACAACAAAATGTAATAACAACCATAGAGAAACTAGTTCCAACAATTGCCTGGAAACCACCAGAACATGTGCTACCACTAAAACGCTTATTGACAAAATTGCATTTACCAAGCCTGCACTGATACGGTCTACTTAAGTATTCCCTTCAGATTTCAGTGACCATTATTTAATGGGCTGTATTCGTAAATGCAACCATCAGAAGTTTCCACCAAAGGAAATTAAATGGCGTGATTACATCCGATAGAACGTTTCAAAAATAAACTGCAAGCTCTCCACTGCAGACTGGTCTGACATTCACGAAACGAACGATGTTAATAAGGCTTGGAAGGTTTTTCACCAGATAAGACGTAGTATCTTTGTGAGCACGCACCAATAATTGTAAAGCGAGTGAAATCCAAACCAGCTCCATGGCTTACCCCAGAGATTAAGGCTGCTATGAATGACCGAGACAGGCAAACCTGCAACAAAAACCTGCAACACCTGATGGAGTTTATGGAACCTTAAAAAAACTGCGTAGAAAGGAAGCAACCGAACTCATCACCTATGTCATATTATAAACATGTCGATCAACACTGGCGTGGTCCCTTCAGCATGAAAAATGGCCAGAATCATTCTTATTCATAAATCAGGACCTACATCAGACTTTGAAAATGACTGTCCTATCTCAGTTTTGCCCTCAGTGTCGAAAATTATAAGAGAAAATTGTTCATGAGCAGCTTATAACTTTCTTAGAAGAGAAAAATTTGACATATAGTCACCAGTTTGGTTTCCGAAATAAAATGTGTACTGAACATGCCGTAACTTTATTGCTTGATTCTATACGGCAGACGGTTGATAAAGGAAATATGGTTGGTGCCTGCTTCGTTGATTTATCTAAGGCATTCGACACTATCAGCCATTCAAATTTGTTAACCAAGCTACCTGGATATGGTATCCACGGTCGAGAACTTGCCTGGTTCACCGATTACTTATTTCACCACAAAGCTATGGTACAGTACAAGCAAGCGCGCTCTGACTTATTTAACATTGACTCGGGAGTGCCACAATAGTCAATCCTAGGCCCCTAACTATTTTGCTACTTTTTAATGATCTAGTCGATGTGGTCAAGCTCAGGTTCTCAAATATGCAGACGACACCGTTGTTTACATTAGTGGTAGAAATGTGAAGGAAATGTCGAACTTGCTGTCAATCGATTTATCTTCTATTTCCAAATGGTTTGAAGAAAATGAACTCCTTATGAATTTTTAAACAAGGTAAGACTGAGGCTTTACTATTTGGAACTTCCAAAAAGACCACGCAGAACATCGAGGACATTGAGATTTATGCAAAGAAGTCAAAGATCTTTGTAACGTAAGAATACAAATATCTTGGAGTGCCTGTTAATAGCTCCCTTAACATGACACCATTCTTTGACAAATGTTACAAGAAAACGTCGTCACGTCACGTCACTTGCGAAACTTGATGGATGTTGATGTTGCCAAGTCGATCTACCAAACCATGGTACTACCAGCGTTTACATACTGCGGATTACACCTACTTTGTCTTACAGCTACACAGGAAGGTAAACTGGTCTCTCTACACAAAAGAGCAGAGCGAATAGTAAAATCCAAGGAAATTCGCTCTGTCAGCAGTGCAAACCAGAAGCGAGCCTGCCAATTTGTAAATCTTGCCTCGATGGAGATGTTATAGAGCCTTAAACATTACTTAAAAAAATGCAAAGATGGTATTACTGCCTAAGATTAGAACAGAATATGGGAGTAAAAGTGTTTTCATTTTACTGACGGAAAGCTGTTCAACATGCTTCCTTTGGAATGTCGCAGCCTAAATAGACTAGACTTTTCGGACTTTTTAGATGACTACTACAAGTAATCACAAATCACTGTAAAGACAATCTAGTTCCTTCCTTTACCCTCTTAGTTACATTTTTTATTTTTATATTTTTACTTTACTGGACACACATTTATAACAGCTTTAGGTGGTTGAAGTTTTTATCTAGTTTAAATATTCGTTCATTATTATTATTATCATTGTCATCATTAGAGCTTCAAGTGTCAAATATACATATCATTCAAAAACGATATATTTCAAAATATCCAATTCGCTTAAAGTTTTGGCAAAACCATTTGCACGAGAAAAAGATTATGCTGGGTATTTTCTCAATGTCTGAATAGATTAAAGGTATGAAATAAATTAAGCTTCACTGCACACTTTAAACATAAAAGCCTCGAGAGAAGTTAAACTTGAGATTACCCATTGGCAAACAAAAAAGGACCAGATTTTGAAATAGAAAACCACGAGATTTAACAAAGTAGATTTCTCAAAATTGTCTTTGTAACTTGAAGAGCTCTATAAACATCAAAACTGGTTTCATCAAATCGAATGACAATGTTAGCACAACTTGTTGATACAGTCAAAAAGGCTCTTGTGGTAGAACTGAGGATAGGTGAAGCAAGTTTATGGTCTGGTAGTAAAACGGTTCTATGCTAGATAGAAAACAGGAATGAGTGGATTTTGTAAAACACAGAGTGAATGAGACATTGAAGGTGTCAAAGAAGGAAAATTGAGGATGTTGTAAGTGTCGGGAGAATTCAGCAGATGTAGGGTCAAGAGGAATAGAAGCTGAAGGATTGAAGGAACATAAGTTGTTGTGGAAGGAACCAGTTGGATTCTGGGTCCTAGGGAGGGATAGCCAACAAAATAAAGGGAAATTGAGACAAAGGAAAGTAAAGAGAGATGAAATCGTCAGTTGTCATGCAAATAAATGTTGTTGACACACCAAGCGTAGAAAATGTGATTGACATAGGTCTCTAATTTGAACAAGTTGCATAAAGCAACTGCTAAGGTTTATTCGTAACTTGAAGGCAGGAAAGAAAGAGAATTTCCGAAAAACAAGGGGAGTTAAGAGAAGAAGAATGCTAGGAGCAGAAAGAGTGTGATTGTGTCTGCTCAAGAAGGTTTGAAGAAGGAGAGTGATCTTTGAGAAATTAGAAAGGGAGCTTCAGCTAGTAAACCACAAAGGAGTGCTTTAATCTATTATTATTATGTTACGTATAATCGTGCTGTCATATTTTTGTTAAGTTTGAAGATTTTTTAATTTCAAGCATTTTTCCATCCGAAATCAAAAACGTTAAAAGGGTATTATTGGCGATTTTTGGGTCTGCAAGAGATTACAAAGGGGTGATATTTAAGAGCTTGCCCATTTAGGAGCTTGCCCATTGCCGATTTGCCAGACTTTCGTGTAAGACAAGCACCGGCACTTTCTAATGCAAAAACGGACTTTGCTGGACCGCTTTTTGTAAAGGAAAAGAGGGGGCACTTTAAGTAAGTGCTTCATTACAGCGTTTTCCTGCTGTGTGACGTCAGCAGTACATCTGGAGCTGGTTCAAGTTATGTCAGATTCAAAATTGGTTGGCGGTTATTATAGCAAAGGTTCCCTGGATAGGAGGGTTTAATGAGAGAATGGTTGGAACTGCGAAAATATGTTTGGGGAAGGAGCTAGGCAGCGCATGAATTATGTATTATGAACAAAAAACCATTCTGATTGAGGTTGAGAACACCATTAACTCCCAACCTATTACATATGAATACGATGAAGCGGGAGGAGGGGCATTGAAACCAGCACATTCCACAAAGGATTCGAGAGTTCAAGCGAAGACCTTCAAGAGTAAAAGCAAGACAACACTTGTAGGCATTTTCTATCGTTATCTACTTTAAGTTACTGTCGCAGAGAACAGTACTAATTATCGATAGCTAGTGATGAAAAGTGCAAGGACGAATGGAAAAATGGCACTTAGGAATATTCTCCAACAGGAAACGATGAAAAAAACTTGGCTACAACGATTTATAGTTGGTGGTCAAGAAGTGATGCGAAAAGTGGGAACATCGTTGAAGATCTCTCCTCAGTCAAGTTCCCGTGCGAAAAGGTAAACTAATAATAAAAACTGAAAATTTTTAAATTAGGCTAAATACCTGCATCTTCATATACCTGAATACCTGAATCGTTCCGTTCCCGTTTGAACAGTAAACTTTACTGCTCAAAATTTGGAAAGCTATTGGAACATTACATACAATAAACACTTGCATATACGAAGCTAGCAGATTAAGAATCTACAGACTGAAATTATGAATTCAAACTCCATCTTAAAGGAACCATCCACCCCAAAATCTGTAATAGGCTCTTATTGTAGAGAAAATTACATTAAAACTCTAGTTGCTTTGTCATTGTCATCGAACTTTCAACTGATGTTATAGATGCTTTAAAATAGCTAAATAAATGCAGTATTCAGTACTCTGTTAAGTATTAATATTCCAAAGCAAAAGTGCTTAAATGTTGACATTTTACTTAAATTCATGTCTTTGGGAGATCCTTTTGCTTAACGTTCTAAACATCTTCTGTAGGCGGTGGGGACTTCCACTAAGAAGTTTGAAATGGAACAAAAAAATGGTGAAAGCCCAGCACCGAGTAAAGGCGGGATTCCACTTCAGCGATTCTGGTCGCGCGACTGCTGTTCTGGACATGCGCAACTAACTCAGTGGCCAGTGGCGTAGCGTCCATGTATGCTAAGCTCGCGGCGCAAGCGTAAAAAATTCTAAACAATTTCTAAAATTCTTGCAACACTTCTACGGGTAATAAACACATTGTAGTGTTGAAGTCAATGCAAGAAATTTTCCGCAATGAACGGCTATTCTTTCTGGTCATATGCAGCATGCAGTGAACTCCAGCGCAAACATACCAATTAATTATTTTTCCAAGTAAACAGATCGCCAAAAATTGTGAAATTCGAAAAATCTGAAAAACTGAAGCCCCTCCACATCACTCTTTTTGCCTGCCTAAAATAGGATAAACATGCGATGCTCCAGTGCAGCTTCAATGCAGCTCGAGAGAAGCTTCTGAGAGCGGTGAGAATTTTCCGGACTGGAGCTTGCGGTCAGCCTTAGCGCAAGCATTCCCAAATATTCAATAATACACAACATTTTTCTGCCTATAAGCTGCTTTTTGCAAATAATTTTTGCGTGATACCTCATTTCAAATTTAATTATTTTTTATTCTTTACTTTGTCACTGTTAAAAAGAGAAAAAATTTCATCAAAGCTGGGTCAAAGTCTATTTGTCATGATCTGCATTCCGTATTTCAAGTCAAAAGGCTTGCCAGTATAGTCAGAATTTACGGACCAGGGCATGCGGTAGACCTGAGCGGAAGCCTTGCCAAATAGTTGATGATTTGCAAGGAACAACCTTCTGAAACCATTACACATGAAAGTATCTTCAATTCTAACAACTCTCACAGCTCTTTATTGTCATCTTTGTTAACTATGATGTTAAAAATGAGCAGAAACTTTTGCTCCTGTTCGCTCTGGCTCTGCTCTGCAGAGAGCTCCTCCTTACGGGAATCCCCAGATGCATTAGAACATATAATAATTTTTACATTAGGTGGGCATTAGGTGGTGCCTTTTCTTGACGAATATGAATAGGAATAAGATATTTTGCGAAACAGTTTTAGCACTAGGAGTTATTCTGAAAATTTTTGCAAAACAACTAAGCTTTTTTCAAGAACTTTTCGCATGGGTTATAATTTTTCCCTTGGTCCACTTCTTTTTTCAACGTGCTTCAGAGCCCCTGATGCAGAGAATAGACACCTTGATTGATTAGAGTTAGAGTACAAACAATTTGTTATTTTCAAAATCAAAATTTATTATCACGATTATCATTAGTTACCACTTGTATTTTTAAGGAGCTGAAATAACGATTACATTCATTCAACATAGCCGTATATTTTATGCTACCGCATGCCTAAGCTCTGCGCTCACGCTTCGCCACTGTCAGTGGCAGTGCTTCCTCATTCCACTGGCGGTCGCGCGACTACTTTTGGGAGTTGAATAGATGTTAATAGCTCAATTGGGCCAGCCGGTTGCTCGATTTAGTGTCCATATCGATACCGTAGACCTATCTAAGTCGAGAGGCGTCCATTAACACATCTCAGGCAGTTATGTAACATTGAAATGTGCATAAAATACATTTTGGTTAGCGCGAAGGCCAGCATAAAAATTCTGTAGTTTAACGTGAACAAACCATGGAAGTTGTTAAAATACTTATAACATCACTTTTGGGGTTTATTGCTAAAACCTGCGATTCTGCTATCCTGAAACCTGAAAACTTGAAACCTACTAAAACCTGCGGTTCTGCTATCGAGCAGCATTTACTGGAAAACCAAGATTGTGCAAAAAACTATAAGGACGACATGTTTCGGATTATTGGTAAAGCCCGATCGTTGTTCCATCTATCTATCTACATAAGCACGCCCAAAAGTTTTGGAACCTATCAACATAAGCATGAAAAGACCGCTATTGTGTACACAAAAGGGGTTCGCTTTCACCTTAGGACTAAATTGGTAACATTCTTTATAGGCAAGCGGCACTGATTGGTCAACCTCAACAGTCATGTGCTCGTGTTTCTGATTGGCCTATTTCGATCCACAACTGGGTATATATATTTATTAGCGTAGAGTTTTCGATCTATGTTCTGATGTATTAAACTCTGAAGAGTGTCAGACGAAAAGCTTTAGTTTTCTCAAATTTTTGCTTTTTTCAAAGCCATTTTCAAATTTTGTACCACCAAAAGATTTTTTGTCTGGTTTACGTTAAATGCCGCATTACCCTTTTTTGTTTTCTTTGGCGCTTATCCAAAAATTCAACTTCACGCTCTGCTACACTGAGAAAAGTATCTGGTTTAAACGGACCAATTGGCTTTTTTTCAGAGAAAAAAATTTGTTATTATGGGGGCTTTTTTGCGAAGGAAAAAGGAACCTTCTCATTTCCTTTCCCCCGTCCTTCATCCTTTGACTCTCTGAGGCTCTGGCACCCAGGGTAGGGGGCAACATACTTCAAAAGTTCCTCAAGACGATCAGCGCTCATCCTAAAATGTTGTAAGAAGTATTCCTTGTCGAAAAGTTTCATCTCTCAAAAACCTTTCATCAAAAGGTTGGAATGCGATTACCACTCATGCATTAGGTTGGCATAGTTTGTGTAACGTCATGTACGTTAGCTGACTATGATCTAGTGCCGACCGGGCACTGACAGCGATCACGTGACCAAATCTCGATTCGCGAAAGTGGAAACCCGCCTTAAGAACCAATTTAAGAGACTAAACTGCCTCTTTTCCTTAATAATATCCAGTACATAAGAACCTATTCGGCTGACGCGTAAAATCTTAGGTTATTATTCGCGAATAGTTACTATAATCAATCGAGTTTGAACGTGACAATCTAATGGGCGAATGGAAACGTCAGTAGGGCCGCTTTTGTTACGTCAGTATCCGATTAAGCAATCGGTTTAATTCTGTTAAAGCGGATAAAAAGAAGAGATTACAAAACATGAACAAGTTATTAAGACAGTTGCCAAGCAATAAATCTAAGCCAATTTGTAGTTATTTGAGGCGACATTCCTCTCACCAATAATATTGATAAACAGGGAAAGGTATTAAAGGCAGTCTGTCCCCTATTGTGCTCAACTTTATTTTCACGGGAGAGAAATTCATGCACCGTTGAGCTTGATCGATAAACGATTTAAACCAATCAGAGACACATGGATTCCAGAGCTTTTGAATCAAATGGCTGTGTTCCCGTTGAAGTGAAGCTATGGCTAGAAAAAGTTTGTTCCCTGTTTGGTTCCCTGTAGAAAAAGTTTGGTTTTTGCGACAGATATGTCAACAGCGAAAGGAAATGCCTCTGTTATCATCAGTCAATTTCAGTAATGAAATCTTATTGCCATTCCCGATAGCTTTTTGCTCGCAGTTTCAAATGTCGTCCACTACAGTAACTAGGCCAGCCAAATCCGTTGAGGCGGGGAGATATATTGTTCATATTGGCCAATCATTGAGGGGACAGACTGCCTTTAAATCTGCCGCAGCCAGAGCCTTACCAGTGAGCTTTTTTCAACCTCTTTATTCTTGAACAGGGGGGTACGCCGTGGATTTCAAGCTGGAGGGGCCGTAATAAACAATGTACAAAAAGTGAAATCGTTGATACATACCTTGCTTTCTTTTCTTTGTAATCATAAATCTGAACTGCTGCATTATGGGGCACTCTGAACGTAACTACTTTTGTTTTATCTCGTGCCTTCCCTGTATCACTGCCTCCACCCCTTTCACTACGCCCCGAGAGGGGGTCCTTTCCTTGGGTTATCAAGTCTTCTACAACAGGAGGTAGTGTCTTCTCCCATAATTCCTCGTCCTGGGTTAACATGTAGGTGTTGCCTATTTCTGCCCGAACCTTGCCAGTCCGTATGTCACGCACATATACCCCCTCGTTGGCATCGAGTGGAATAGCCGTTCTTCTGCTAACGACTTCTACTTCGACGGGGGGCACATACTCGCAAGGACCTCTGATCATCCACTTATCACCAGGCTTGCGTTTAATCTTCTATCGGATAAGACCAAACAACTTTAAAAATTAAACAATTCTAGATATGCCAAAGCATAATACATCTAAACCTCAATGTCGGTGAACTTGTAAAACTTTCATCACTGCTACCTTTCACTGCACTTCACTACACTGTCAGTAAAAATCTATTTTCACATAAACAAAATCGACAGCCGAAAAAGATGGCCATAGTTTTCCATTTCAACAAGTTGATTTTTTTTGTATTCGACAGGGCCGAAAGGGCAGGAAGGGCAGGAAGGGCAGGAAGGGCAGGAAGGGCAAGGGCAAAGGGCAGGAAGGGCAGGAAGGGCAAAAAGGGCAGGAAGGGCAAAAAGGGCAGGAAGGGCAAAAAGGGCAGGAAGGGAAGGGCAAAAAGGGCAGGAAGGGCAAAAAGGGCAGGAAGGGCAAAAAGGGCAGGAAGGGCAAAAAGGGCAGGAAGGGCAAAGAGGGCAGGAAGAGCAAAAAGGGCAGGAAGAGCAAAAAGGGCAGGAAGAGCAAAAAGGGCAGGAAGGGCGAAAAGGGCAGGAAGGGCAAAAAGGGCAGGAAGGGCAAAAAGGGCAAAGAGGGCAGGAAGGGCAAAGAGGGCAGGAAGGGGAGAATGCAAAAAGGGGAGAATGTAGAAAAAGCAGAATGTAGAAAGGGCAGAATGCAAAAAGGGGAGAATGCAAAAAGGGCAGGAAGGGCAAAAAGGGCAGGAAGGGCAAAAAGGGCAGGAAGGGCAAAGAGGGCAGGAAGGGCAAAGAGGGCAGGAAGGGCAAAAAGGGCAGGAAGGGCGAAAAGGGCAGGAAGGGCAAAGAGGGCAGGAAGGGCAAAGAGGGCAGGAAGGGCAGAAAGGGCAGGAAGGGCGAAAAGGGCAGGAAGGGCAAAGAGGGCAGGAAGGGGAGAATGCAAAAAGGGGAGAATGTAGAAAAAACAGAATGTAGAAAGGGCAGAATGCAAAAAGGGGAGAATGCAAAAAGGGGAGAATGCAAAAAGGGGAGAATGCAAAAAGGGAAGAATATAGAAAAGGCAGAATGTAGAAAAAGCAGAATGTAGAAAAAGCAGAATGTAAAAAAAGCAGAATGTAGAAAGAGCAGAATGTAGAAAGGGCAGAATATAGAAAAAGCAGAATGTAGAAAAAGCAGAATGTAGAAAAGGTGGAATGTAGAAAGGGCAGAATGTAGAAAGGGCAGAATATAGAAAAAGCAGAATGTAGAAAGGGCAGAATGTAGAAAGGGCAGAATGTAGAAAGGGCAGAATGTAGAAAAAGCAGAATGTAGAAAAAGCAGAATGTAGAAAAAGCAGAATGTAGAAAAAGCAGAATGTAGAAAAGGTGGAATGTAGAAAGGGCGGAATGTAGAAAGGGTAGAATGTAGAAAGGGCGGAATGTAGAAAGGGCGGAATGTAGAAAGGATGGAATATAAAGAGGACCGGACGTAGAAAGGGCAGAAAGGACAGTAAGAATAGAAGGAATAATCTTTGTGGTAACTTTGTTGTTTGCCAAGACGAGGGGGAAATTTTTCCCTAGATTAGCCACGTTTAAAAGAAACAGCGATAGGCAATAACTAATGATGTGATATGGTGTTATTCCCCAGGAGGCCTTGCAAAAACCAAATTGCATAATTAAAATCTATGATTAGAAAAAATTTACAACGTTGAATGAATGAAAAACTATAAGATGCTTTTACGTAATCATGGAGTTTAAGAAAGAGGGGCTAGTCTACCGTAATGTTGTAGATTACTGCAAACTTTTGGTTCATGAAATGAAAATGTTTTTTCGCCAATTTTGGGAAAAAGGAATGTTAGGGGATTTGCAATGTGATTATGACTTTATAAAACCTTAAAGAACATGGCAAACTTCTTTTGAAGATTTAAACACCATGGCTGTTTTAGGTCAGAGTTATTCCATCTGCTAGTATTCAATCTTCTGAACTTTGTAAATATTTCACAAAAAAGCCGCCATCTTTGATAAAGCAAGCATTAAAGAAATACAACAATAGCTATTCTGGGCAAACTTGGGCTAACAATACCGGAAAGACTGCGAATCCTGGCCAACAAAAGAGACAAGGTGAGACACTTGAAAACTATGTAGATTTTCACCTTGTTCTCCTCCTCGAATTCTTCGATAGCCCGGAGAATAAGTCCGCCATCTTCACCAAGAATATACACACTTTGTATTTCATTCTCCAGTCTTTCTCCTGGCCTCAGAAAGAAAGACTTTTCACCCTTAAATGAAAAAGTTGAAAACAATACATCAATTCACAATGCACAAATATAACCAAGGGCGCCATGGCTACAGCTCTCCACTAGCGCAACAAATTTGTCGAAATAATTCAGAAAGTTTGCTACGTTGCCATAAATTTTAACAAAAATATAAATTGCCTTGGTCCGAGCAAGAAATTAGCCTCCAATGCACCCCTGGCGCTCTGATGATGAAGAATCAGACAATGTATGTAGTGTTACTCAAGGGCAAAGTGTTGTCTGACAAAACATACAGTGGTTTGTTATCATCGCATTAAATAGATGGTTTGTTACCATCTGCGTGAAATTCTGCTTGAAATTCAAGGTACTAACGTAAAACCGACCTGTTCTACAAATCAAAGTGAGCCCCACCCTATCCGTGCAAAATCAAGACTGTACAATCGGCATCGTTATAGTCGTTAGTACGAATGCCTTACCCATATAACAAAAAATAGACTTTTGAGATTTTACAAGGGGGAATACGGCTAGTCATTAGTCAGGTGATAAAGGACTTTGTCAGTCACTAGTCAAGGTTTTTGGTGCAAGTTAGTCAAAATTTCTTTGTAGCACAATTTCTTTTAGTTTTAACGTGGTTTCATAGTTGTATATACCAAAAGATTCTTAGGAGTTTTTTACTGAATAGACCAATTCGACTTACGGCCTCGTTTTGAAAAAAACTTCAAAAATTGTTAACCTCAGATTCGGATTAAGAGCAATGATTTAAAGCCTGATTTACACGAGACGAATTTTTCGCGCGAAGCGAATTTTTCGCCACGAATTTTTCGCCTGCGAATTCTTTGGGAATTCGAAGTTTAATTTCCACTGGCAGAATTTCTTTTGCGAATTCGCCGCGAATAATGCAAAAGAAAATGGCGTCTGTTCGAAGATTGTTGTTATTAAAAAAAGCGAGCAAAAAAGCAAAGAAAGGGGTACTTGGTTCGAAAAATTTATTCAGAACGTCTACAGAAGGGGGAGTTTCATCTTTTGGTAAATGACTTACGCTTACATTGTCAGGAATAATTACTTTCGAATGTCGCCAACTACATATGAGGAGCTTTTAACCTTTTATTGCACCAAAGACGCCTGTTGCTAGAAACGTCCCATTCCATTGTTTATGTTATAGGTGCGGGATTTTCCCAGCATTGTTTAGGCCTAGTCATAGGATACTCATTCTTCACCCATGTTGTTGTTTGAACCATTGCGTAGTTTTCTGTCGTTTTGCATACTTTTGATTTAGATATGTTTACATTGCATAGCACCATTCGGCCTAGCCCTTTCTTTCCCATTGGTTCACTAGTTGGGTTCGTGTCAGATGTCTTCAATTGCTGTTCTGATTGGTTTATTTTAAAAGGCGAAAAAATTCGCAGCGAAAAAGTAGGAATGGTTTCTACTTTTTCGCAGCGAATTATTCGCTGCGAATTTTCTAATGTCCACTTCTGCGCATATTTTTCGCGCATTCGCAGCGAAAAATTCGCTTCGCACGAAAAAATTCGTCTCGTGTAAATCAGGCTTAAGTCTACTTGGAAATTTTCATTATGGTATTGCTCACGATATTGATTTTTTGACGACATAAAGATAAAAAGTTTATAAGAGATTTGGCCGTGATTGGCGACTAGGTGGGTAAAGTTTCACCCGGAATGATTTTTGCGGTCAAATCCTTTGCGATCAAACAAAATGAAAAATTGTATCCAGCCTAAATCTATTGTGATAAAACCAAATCTGAGCTAAAAAAAGTTGCGTCGCATAATTAAATTTGGAGAAATTTTCAAAAACGTGGCCGTAAGTCGAATTGGTCTATTGTGATATAAAATATTCTGTCACAGGACGTTTGGAAATTGTTATCATACGTAGCGCAGATTTTACTTTTTGAGGATATTTGACGGCCAAAAGAAAAAGCAATATCATTCAAGAGTGAAAACATAGGGAAAACATAAAGAGAAAACATATTGCGCAATGAAAATTGGAAAATCTCTTTCAAAACTCTTCCCTTAAATTACCAGTTAATAAGCAGAAGCTATAGGCCATAACAATGACGGCAAACATTTGGGTTCAAACCCCTCCCCCATCTCATCGTCTCGATGAACCCCAATTTGTAAGCGTCTCGATGAACAATAGCCAACACATAGACAATATGGGCTAGCTACAACCATTTTGATTGGAAAGCAAATGGATGGTTGATTTCCCTCCTGCTCTTAGTTGTTTTTGGGCAAACACAAGCTCATCTTTGCTCCTTTTGTGACCTGATGATAATACTTATTTGTCAAGTAGAAATGATTCTCTCTCAGCTCAAGTGCACACAGTCAGAAATTTTGAATATATGAGAATACATGTGGCACTCGAGATTATTCACACTATTCAATAAAAGTAAGTCAATAAAAAAACATGGCTTTGGCTTGGCTTTTACAAATAATTAGTCAGTCAGTTGGCAAAACAGTCTGTTAGTCACCTACTACATCGTCGAAACCCCTTCTACACCCTCACCTTGGGAAGGTCTAATTTAATAACATATAACAGCTCAAAACTGTTAATTGCGATAATTCTTCAGAATCTGCAGAAACTATTCCCTTTTGCTTCGTTAGCTATGACAAAAGGAGAGGGTATACCAAAATACAGCCAGTCATGATTTTCATGTTGCCTTGCTATAGGTGGACATGAGATTGATCACATGAAGTTGCCTCGATTTGATTCTGAAAACAGGTTTCGTCAAAGGTCAGTTGTAAACAATGGCCTTCGAGATCACATTAGATCACATGGAACTAAAATCATCACACTGAAAGCTAAGGAAACCTGGCACGGCAGAGGACCTTTTTTACCTTGACAACGTTAGCTTCAGATAATCACCTGCAACATTTAATATTCTTCTTCACAGTTAGCAAATAGGCTGTTTTACCTTGATGAGCTTCTTCTGTCCCATTTGAGGCTTGCCATCCTTTCCTACAGGGTCCATGATAACACAGTACTGTCTGTTGTTCAACGTTGTGATCTTGACCACATCAACAACCTAATAATTGGAAAACTGCATTGAGTTTGAATACCATTTTGGGTCTCACTTTAGTCCTAATATTAAAATAAAAAACCCGAAACATATGGGCTATTCCTTCTTAGCTCCTGCCTTTTAAAAAGATAAACATTTGAAAATTAGGCAAGGACCTCTTCGTAGATGCCAGGTATGTGCGCCTCAGTGTCTTGAAAAGTAATTAACCATTCTTCGCCGTTTTTACGAACATTGCCACGATCATCTGTGAAGGTTCTTGTGGAGCGCATATGAAGCGCCTTCTAGAATACAAAAGAGTAAACTACCATCAGGTTTGACAAACAGCAAGTCTTTGTTTACAGATAAAGAAAAGTTGACTAAGGCCTAGATTAAAGAAGGAGCCAGTCATCTGACAATCCTCATTATGATAAGCTGACACTGGGAAGACTGAATCCCGAGGTTGGCACAGCCTAAAACATCAAACTAAATAGGTCATTACATTTTGAAATATTACACGAAGCATTAGAAATTTACGCGGTTTTTTGTTTGAATAATGATTACACTGTGTGGTTTAGTTATGGGGTAGTTTCATTTACTACTCAAAAACATGTCATTCTGTTTGTGCACGCCCAGCCTAATTTTAAGAAAGAAAATCAGAAATGTTTCTCACTTGCTTAATCAAATGAAATTTTGTTCCTCTCATGCGCTTAAGGTATGAAGTAGGTTGGGCACATGATAGGCTCAGTGTTTGATCCAGGTCTAATAATTTGTGATTGTTGCCTAATATCAATATTGGTTGCAGCTAGGTGTTTGATATAAGAATGAATCATGATATGGAATTTGTTAATCCCACTAATGTGAAAGAGCTATTAAAACATGAAATGATGGGCGATTCCATTCTGATACTGGAAGCCAGTTGCAATCAGAATGAATGATGATATGCAATTTCTATATAGCACTGATATGAAAGTGCTTTCAAAATGTGAAATGATAGCACTGATATGAAAGGATTCACTTCACAACAGTAACATCATATGTAAATTGAGTGATTTTGCACATTTATTTCAGCTCAAAATTCACATGAACGTGCAGATATAACCATACACAAATGAATTTTGGAAAATTAATAATGTAAAATTTTTTTTTCTGTATATCGAAAATACAAAAAATGCTAAAAAAATAATAGGTGATAGAGAAAGTACCTTTTCTGTTAATACTGTAGCCTTGACAATATCAACAACTTCTTCATAGGCACCTGGGAGGTATGCGCCCACCTTTTTCACAAGCCATTCCTCACCAGTCACTCGAAAATTGCCATTGCGATCCTGAAATGATTTTGCAAAGCAGTTATTTTTCTATCCATCTACTTTCCCTACTATCTACATTAATCCTGCATCTATCTTTTAAAATGATACTTGCTGGTGGCTGAACACAACTTTGTAAGCTGCTTGACAGCATTAAGTAAATATGCTTGACAATCATCAAAATTTTAGCTAAATCACACCTTAGTTTCTCCTCTGGCCCTCAATTTCAAGGCCTGGTTTGGCTTTATTACTGTGGCTCTGATAGTCTCCAAGACCTCAACCTCTTTTCTTGGAATGTATGTTCCTAGGAAGAAGTTTACATGAAGAAGACTGAAGTTATTTATGAATGCCAAATAAATGAAAATGACAATGAAGAAAGACATTGCAATACAATTACCTGGAAACAGGTTATAAAAACAATAGCAAAACGGATCTAGTGGCATTATTTTCTATACCAATTTTGAATGACAGAGCGTAATTTATATAGCTTACAAAATAACTACCATGAAGCTATTATAAAATTTTCGATCTCTTGACTAAAGAGATCTTCTTGGCTAAAGAGAGTGGGTGGTTATTGTAAAACTTTATAATTGAGCGTATTGGATAGGGGTTTAAAAACGAGTGAGGGCTAAATAGAGCTTTCAGGGTGCATTGGATTTCTATTTATCAAATTGGTAAGGTAACAATTGGCAGGCAAGAGAAGATGGTTCTAGAAAAGACTCTCTTGGCAGTATAGGAAAATCAAACCATTTGACTAAAAAGACAGTTCACAAAACCCAACATCTTGTTGAAAGGTTAACAAAGAAAATGAGAAAACAAAGTTTGAAACTGATTCTAGATAAGTTAGAATAGATATTGGATTGCCTCATGTTGTTTTGCTGTTTTCCTACCTTTCCTCATTCATAGTACAAGTGCCTTGTCTGAGGGTGCTGTCAAACCAAGACATTTGAATGAAAATAAAAACTGAATGGCAAAGAGATATGGTATTATGTACCTGGTCCTTCGAACAAGTATTCATCTCCAGCCACTTTCTTTTCACCGCTTTGATCCTCAAAGTCAAGAACAGCCCTCAGACGGAGGGCTGAGTTGGCAGGAACAACTCTAAGAGATGTTGGTGGTTGTTTGAGTTCTTCGCCAGGGTAGAGAGGGAAAGGGTCTTGGGCAAGACGGACATCCTAACAAAAAGATCAAATGACTGTTTGGTATATATCATTCAAAGGATAGATTATAGCAGTGGTGGCGCCAGGGGAGGGCTAGAGGGGGCTACAGCCCCTCTGTTGGAAGCATCTAGCCCCCCCCTCCCCCCATCGGAGCAAATTTGACAAAATAACATATGGAAATTGCTTATTTTAGTCATTTTAGCCCCCCTGTCGGAAGCTCCAACCCCTCTGTCGGAAGATTTCTGGTGGCACCTCTGGATTATATAACAGAAATTTTTTTTAAAAAACTGGGCTTCTGAGTAAACATTAAACTGTACTATTAAATCACTTTTTCTAGTGCTGGTAAAAAATGAAATCAAACACACAGTAAATGGATAAGTGCAGCAAAAGCCAAAGCAAGTGCTCTAATAAATGGCACAAACACTGCACAAGTATATTCTGATGCTCTTCTCAAAGATGCCTCTCTCATAAGGGCCTTTTTTCTCAGATGAAAATGGGCCTTCCAGCAAAAATAAATAAAGGCATGAATTTGGTGAAGTACTTTTAAAAAATAGTTAAAGAAAAACTCACAAGATCAGCATGTTTCAATTTAACCTGGCCGTGCTCATCAAGGATAACTTTGCCAGTTTTGTCCTTCAATACTGGATTTTCAACAATGCAGTAGTGTCTTGGAGGTATGGTTATCATCTTTTCTGGGCCAAAAACAACCTGTAACGTAGTTGTAGATTAGTCAGTGAACATTGGAAGCAATGACAACATGATTAATGGAGAAAATTAATGTGATTTTATGTAGGCCAAAAACTGGCAAAAGTTGAGAAACAGACTAAAAATTTAAAGATTTTTCTGGAAATTTCAGTAATTATAAAATAAAACTTTTTTCAGAATATATATATCAATTCACAAATAGACAGTTGTGTTTATTTGACATTTCAAGTATTTATAATGAAATATACTAATATTGATAACTGTTCATTTACAATTTGGCAATTTCTTAATTTTTATCATTAAAAACATAAAAGCATCCTTCAAACAACACATAATTACACAGGAAATTATCTGACATGTCCCAAATACTGCAAGTCACATTTATAGCCACTATGTCAAGTAGCCCTAAACAAACAATTTGTGTGAGTCAGCCTAACCAAGAAAATATAGTATATTTCAATGGGCAGCTAGTTTGATTTTCTCCTTTCATGCTTCAGAAAATGCACTGTACATTTTTAAAATAACCTTGAAAATAGCAGTTTCTTTTAAGAATGAAATTGTTACTATGCAAACTTGGTCCTACATCTTCTAAATCAAAACTCCACATACCTTTTCATTGTCTTGCCTGACATAGGTTTTTGGGCCAACTTCAACCCTTGTAACATTACTATTTTGATCAAGCACATGGAGATAAAAATAAGGTGCAATGCGGAACAGACTGTCATCTGGTTGTGCACCTTTTGAGTTTCTCTTATCCATCTTGACTTCAATCCAATTTTAGCCAACCTAAAAAATTGCATAAAATATATTATATAAAAATAGCTCACATTTAACTTTTTTCTTGTCACAGATCTGAGAAATCTTACACTCTGTGGATTCTAAATCACTTCTTCAAATAGCAAGGAACATAACAAAGATGGGGACATATTTTAAACTTCTGCTTCAAAAGTAGGGGGGGGGGGGGTTATAGAGGATCTCCATAAAGTGGCTGGCTAAACAGAGCTTTTACAGTATAAAAACTTTTCTTCTGACATTCCTCAGAGTAAAAAATGCCAGAATAAGGATTCGAAATGCGAAGTGAGAAAAGATATCTAGTTGTGAATCAAATAATCAGAAACTTGGCCTAAAAGTAAGTTGAAAAGAAAATTCATCACAGTGATGCAATAATGACGAACGTGGGTATAACAGGGTAATAGGCTTCGAATACTGGATTCTGGATCCTTTTCATTTCAACTGGATTCTCCAAAACATAAAAATGAACAAAACCATTTGAAGTTTATGTAAAAATTTATCTCGAAGAATGTTTGCTTACGCTGCAGTTTTCACGTTTGCTACCAATAGTAGGTACCCACCTTTCATCAACCTAATGGTAGTTTTATTTTAATATTTTAACGAGTTTTCTGTCAGACAGGCTGCAAAAGGATGACGAGTTTAATACACAGCATAACCTACAATCGGCAGGGACTTCATGCCGAATGAAATGGCTGTCAGTTGCACGACGAAACAATTTTACCAGCCAGTACGTGCTTTTGGGGGCCTAAAAGGGTGGATGAGGAATTTACTTATATTGATACAGCATATCACAAAAATCTTTGAACTAAAAATATAGAAAATGTATGCGAAAAGTACTGCTTACCTCAAGATTACCCTCAACTTGTGCAGATTTCAGCAAGGAAGAATCCAGTGGGCTTTGGTAGGCGGAAGGTCGCTTGGTTTCATGCTGCGCGAACCTGATTGGCTGAAAATGATGTAATTGTTGCATTGGTAGGCCGAAATTATAAATAAGCCTCGCTTCAGCAGCGAGGCCCCCATAAGGCGAGCAAAAAAAAAGACAATTTTGCAAGGGAACATTTTGCGAGTCCTTTTTGCATTTCACTTGATTTCTTCTGTTCACACACTACACTCTTTTTTTATAAGAACAATTTTATAAGAACACGAGCCTCAAAACTGTTCAAAAGTTAAGAACAAATTAAGAACAAGCTGAGGCTGAGCTTCTTCAAAATGCAATTTTGAACAACGTTTTTTCTCAAAATCGAGGATTTTAAGCGATGTGTGGGTGCTTTTTCGGTGAATATTCAAATTTTTCAGCAAATTAAGGCTGTCTCACTCACTTTGTTGGCAAATGAGGCCTGAACATCCCTTAGAGCGAAAAAGCTAGCAATAGCACTGCTTACGCCCTCTTAATTTAAGAACAAATTAAGAACGATCCTGCCTCAGATTTTCGAAAAACTTAAGAACAGTCAGCCTGAACTGAAATTTACTGGTTCTTATAAAAAAAGAGTGTATGTGTTTCGCCCCGCAGTCTTTCAATTAAGGGTGAGCTGACACGCAAAATTAAATTGACCTCAAATGAAAGCATATCGAGCATAAATACCTGATACATTATAATTTTTTTTATATTCAACACAGTTTTCGCGTTTTCGAGCTTCAAAGATAGCCACTGAACATTTTCCGAGCACGGACGAGTTTGCCCGAGCCTTCTGCATAATCGTGATGTCATAAATGCCATGTTCACATCTGTAACGACACAGGGTTCCCTTACGGACAGTATCACGTGACAATTGCACCATTGCGCTGTGATTGCATCAGCGTCTGTAAATATGTTTTTTGTATTACGTAATTATTATTTTAAGGTTTGCTTAGGTTATATAAAGGGTTGTTTCTTAAGTTAGGAGTAGTCTTGTCGAAAGTTTTGTCGTGCCTGTGGAAGCCGTGTCGTTATTTGTCGAGCTTGTTGTTAGCCGTTAGTCGTATCATTGCCATAAAAAGAAGAATTTTGATCTTATCTGCCGTTGCCGTATTTTTTGAGAATTTCTGCCTACAAAGAACTCACGTTTGTAAAACCCCCATTTTAAGAGGTTTTACACATCACTTGAGTAACACGACAGTCTGGAAGGCCGTACTTTTATGACTTTGCGGAAGAGCATCGATACATTAATTGTGTAGGTTTTGGCTCCATTTCGACAACCTGATTGGAAAACAGATTATGACTCCTTTACAAACCTTTCATAATAAGATTTTGAAAGAATATCGTATTATTCAGCGGGTTTAAGGCCCTTCCTCCGTCTTGCAGGACCCAGTGTGTGCCGGGCCAACATATCATATAATGGTAGCGATAAATATATTGGCAAAATTTTTTTATTTTCTGGAAACCTAAGTGAAATACTATTATTTTGTTAAATACGGCTCCTGTTAGACTTATTTATCAGGCCTGCCCCCCCCCCCTTAAAAAAGCTGATATCGGTCTTTGATCCTGATTAACTTCAATATACGCAGTAAAGATTTCGGATTTAAGTCACTAATTTTCGGCATATTCCTTATTCAATCACATGAACGATTTTTAGGGGTTAAGAACCTGGTACGAACGGGTCGTTATTTGCAGGAAAACAACTTAGTAAAATTTTCAACTCCCAGGCCGCTGCACTTCTGTAACTTGGGTGAACCGACGAGTTGGCAAACCCAAAATAAAATAACGTTCATGATTCATATGGATGTATAAACAATCTATCGAAGTAACGATATTTTGAATTTATTCGAAAAAGAAGCTAGATTCATGATAAAATGAAAAGATTCTCACATTCGCCAAGGGGCGATTCACTCTTGCAAATGGCGTACGAAATTTTGCCTAAAACAAAAGGATTTCTAGGGATTTTTAGAAAAAACAATAGGATTTTCATAAAAGAGTGATTTGCCCCTCGACATTCGCCACATTCAACAGCATGATTGCCTTCAGAACAGAGAAATTCTTCGAGCAGCTAAAAGCGCCTATTCCTTCCAAACTTAAATTCCTTCCTAACATAACCCAGTGCCAGCCAAAACATATCCTTCTTACATTTCATTAGCCTCAAACTTTCATGTATCTTGGATCGAAGGCTACGCAGATCTCCTCGAATATTAACTGAACAAGATGAACTGAACTGTCCAGTCCGTGCGTGATTTCCATGGGGTAAAAGCATGGTGTTTGTAAAAACAGGCACTGAGTCGCATGAAATGCCGATAATGGTCGAATACTCGACGATAATTTCACGACATCAAGATTATCGCGAATGGATATAAACAAATTTTGATATCCTTTCGCGGTAATCGTGATCCGATGACGTCAATCGTTTTGTTCAAAATAATGTGAAGAATTTTTGAAGAGAAAGGAGTGTCCAAGGCACTGTGTCCAAGGAAATGTTGAAAAACTGTCATTTTAGTTATTCGGTAGGTTTTGTGCGTTTTGTTTAGGATATCGCATCAAACATTCTGATTTCAAAATGGAAAATGAGAAATTGCAATTCTACGAGAAACTTTTTGAAGCTGTGAGAAAATATCTGTAATGAAATTCACGGTCGTTCAGTCGTAGCTCTTGATATTTGCTAAATGTTTTATTTTTGCAAATACCTCTGACCCAGAACCATCTCTTATTTCTCTCTCAATTTTTTGCCTTTTCTCTTATCTGTCTACGTGTTGAATATGTGTTGTTGAATACATATATTTCACTACCCGGTCCCAGTTGAAAGTTGATAGCAATAAAGTCGGTCCCGATCTAGCCATCTGCTTAGTATTTCTGTCTATCACACCCAAAGCTGGTCCCAAATCTGCTGGTACCATAATAATAATATAATATAAATAATAATTAATTTGTTTAAAGTTGCCGTATTAAATGAACGGCTGATAGCTGTATTGCAGTAAAGTAAGGCATATAGTGGGGCATTTTCTAGGAAGGGCTAATCACCGAAAAATGACAGGGGACAGAATCGGTCCAGACAAAAGGACTTTGGAAAAAAACTCCGACAACAATAACTTTTTCGCCATATGTACAAGCTTTATCTTGTTTCCGTGCTATGCGCGGCGTTGGATGCCCAAATTTCAAGGGGAATGCGAGAGCAGCAGTCACATTCCCTCAATAGTATCTCAATAGAAAATTTCAGGTAAAATCCGCACGGTGGAAGAAACGCTTTAGGTATTTCAGAGACCTTCCTGTCATAAAATAAATAAAGGTTCAAACAAAGGTAGTTGCTCTGTTGGTTAAATTAAATATGATATTCTTGTTGGCATTAAATCTAAAAATCCAGGCCCTCTTTAGGTAAAATTGTGCCTTATTTCCATTTCCCCCAAAGTTTCTCGAACTGCAATTCACAATGAAATCCAGATTTTTTTGAACATTCAAAAGGCATGCTAAGATGGAAAGAGTGATCCAAATTGACAACCAGCGTTGTTTGTTACCTAAAAGTAACTGACAACATGGTTTTTTCAAGTCCATAGCGAAATTGTACCAGTTGTTTCTAACTGCTGTTCAATTTGTTTGCAAGAAAGAATTTTCAATAGGGTTAGGAGGACTGCTTTAGTTAAATTTGCTTAAAAAGTGCATTTTCCAGGGAACTGGAAGCATCAAAATTCGAAAATTTCCTTCTTCTTCGGCGGCAACTAGTGCCGCCTCGGGTAGTAACTATATCCTTTACCCGTTCCGATATAGAGATTTGACAAAACTATTAGGAAACTCCGTTATTATCATATAAAAATATATGTGGCGAATTATATACAGAGTTAGATTCACAAAATATATTGCAGAGGCTCGTGACAGCAACTATATAATTTCAGGCAACAAGGCCTGCCTCGCGACGGCCCTGGAGAGCGGCCCCGACAATATCTATATCTCAAAAATCGGTCTGTCGTGGCGAAAACTCGGTCCCTTCAAAGAACACCCCCCTAAAAAAAATTTGCATTTGCGCCTCTGCCTGTGTTCAGCCATTTTGAGTATACGACTAACGCGTCAGTAAGTACATGATCTAGCTGAGCATACTACTGTCAGGAAATATTTTACCGTGGTAATCGTGATAATCGTGATAATCGCCTAGTGAGTGTCAGGCTTTAGAGCAAAATAGTGTCAAAACGGACAACAATAAGTAACCGAAAATTTGAAATTAAAATTCCATGCATCGTTTTCTGCATTATATCAAAAAATAGTTTTGCGTATAGTTGTTCATTTTTCGCGATGTTTTGTCGACGTGGGATAGAGTACTTTCGAGCTGGGAAATCAGAACACGTTTGTTATTCGTTTAAACTTTATTTCACCGTCGAATCCCCTGAACATTAGCGAATACAACCTCATACAATTCAGTGGTTCTACAAAAGATCTTTTCGCAGACTTCGCAAAAGCTTTAGACTAAAAAGAGTAGCAACATCAGATCTCAGTAACATCAGATCTATATTTTCAGTAATTCTCAGGCTACTTAGAACCAGGAGGCAAATCATTGATTAAAATCACACACACTTTCCAAAGTAATATCTAAATAGTAATGATTAATAGAAAATAATAACATCAATCACAAAATGATCAAATTAATCATAAAAAATAGCCACTGATAAATAATTCTGTAAATTTTATAGGGAGTGATTTGCCCCTCGCTTGGAAACAGTAAGCGTTAGATCTACAAAATTTGTTATAATTAAAGGCTTCAACACACATGTGGTACTGACTGTAAAAGATTCAATGAAATATTGGATGCCTTCAATTTATCTCAATTCGAACACATCCATGGTGTGCTAGTAGTTTGACAGTTATGAAAAAAGTCAAGCGTAAAGTCGAGATAATAAACCACGATTAAGTGGATTTTAATAAAGATGGAAGTCAAGCAATGAAGATGGAAGATGTACTTACAATAAAGGAATCAAAGGTTGGAACATTCACTCACAAAGGCTATAATTCTTCAGAGTTGTGAACAAATTAAGACCCCGTTTACACTGTGCTGGATAAAATTTATCCGCATAAAACTTGTTCTGATTGATTTGCTTTTACACTGTGCCGCGCAAATGTTGTCCACTTTGCCTTCCTGTTTTCACTGTGCCGGATAACTGCAGTCACATGACCTAAATAATGGACAGAAGGCCCAAAACGAAGTCTTCTCTGGGCAACAAAACAATAACAAACTTCCCGCCAACGTAAAAAGACTTCAAACTCTCTTCAGAATCTTCTGCTTCTCTTTTAGACCAAATCCAAAGATATTGTCAATGCAAATAAGGCCTAGTTTGTTTCAATAGTTTGTTCTTGAAACAAAATGACACTGAACTAGCAACAAAAGGAGGGAAAGCTGACAAGGATGCCAATTTTACGTGGACTGGCAAGATACTGCACTTTTAACACGAGTAGCTAAAGCTCTCGACACGGTTGACCACAAAATTTTACTAGACAAACTCAACCACTATGGTATAAGAGGAAATCCATTAAACTGGTTCAAATCGCACTTATCAAAAAGAACACAAAAAGTTTGCATAAATGGAACTTTGTCTGAACCCCAAATTATAACTCATGGTGTACCCCAAGGAAGTGTACTTGGTCCCCTTCTATTCCTGTTATATATAAACGATTTGCCTTCGTGCTCCAAAATCCTTAAATTCCATTATTTCGCTGATGATACAAGCATCTTTCTTTCTAATGATAATCCAAATGATCTTGAATCCATTGTTAACCATGAGTTAAAAAATGTCTCGACATGGCTTTCCACCAACAGGTTATCACTTAACGTTGATAAATCTAATTTCCTTACTATCTCAAGTAAGAAAACAATTGATTCTATCCTAGACATCAAAATTGATAATATTCCCTATAGAAAAAGTCCATATAAAATTTCTTGGTGTTCTTATTGATAATAGATTAAATTGGAAACAACATACACAAAATGTCAACACAAAAATCTCGAAAAGCATCGGAATACTGGCAAAGATGAGACACTTTGTTTCATTAGATGTACTAAAACAATTGCATCATTCTTTCATTTCTCCTAATCTCAGCTATGCTATCATTAATTGGGGTAGTGCTTCAAAATCTGCTACGAACGATTTAAGAAAAAGTCTTAAAAAAGCGATTAGAATTATGAACTTTGCAGGCTATAGAGCTAAGTCGAAGCCCTTGTTTTCTAAACTAGAATTACTAAAATTTGAAGATACTTATAAATTTGAAACTGCAATATTCAGGAACGATGTTAACAACAATAACATCACCTCGACTTTATGTGACCTGTTTCGAAAATCCAATGTACGGCACAGCTTTAAGACTCGCCAAGCCACTCAGAATCAGTTCTCCCTGCCTCTGGTAACAACTGAATGTCGTAAAAAATTTATTACATTCAATGGCATCAAAATATGGAATAAAATACCCTTAGAAATTTGTTCTATGTCAAGTGAAAATAAATTTAGTAAAGTTCTTTACAAGTGGCTATTGCAACATTATTGAAAATCACGAATCTTCAGTCAAGCACTCAATTATATCGTGAATATTAAGCTTAACCCCTTATCGTTATTAGTGCTATTGCTAGCTTTTTCGCTCTAAGGAGGTGTTCAGGCCTCATTTGCCAACAAAGTGAGTGAGACAGCCTTAATTTGCTGTCAAATATGAATATTCATCGAAAAAGCACCCACACATCGCTAAAAATCCTCGATTTTGAGAAAAAACGTTGTTCAAAATTGCATTTTGCAGAAGCTTAGCCTCAGCTTGTTCTTAATTTGTTCTTAAGTTTTGACCAGTTTTGAGGCATGTGTTCTTATAAAATTGTTCTTACAAAAAAAGAGTGAAAGCTTTTCCGTCAAACTCTATTCAGAGCATAAAACGTAAGAATAAGGGTCCGAAAGAACACGATGGAAAATATATACCCAGTTGTGGATCGAAATGGAAAGACGACCGGGCTCTGCCAATTATCTGGAACATGTCACCATATAGAATTTTGCACAATCTTGGTTGTCTAAAAGATGTTGACCGATGGCAGAGTCAATAGTTTTTGCTGTGTTTTTAGACCCACAAGATCGAAGAGGCTGTTCTTTTTGAGGGGCAGTTTTGTTTTTTATGTTGGAAGGAACATGCTGTTGTATCCTATCCCCCAATCTTTGGGTTGTGCGTACTACGTAGCCAGAATTTTATTAAGAAAGTAAGCAAATTTTATTAAGAAAGTATCTGTGCTTTATCAAAGTGAATAGTCGAAAATGGCTACCTTTAAAACATGGAATCCTCTACCTCACATCTACTTTTCAAGGTCGCTTGGCATTTTACATGACGCTGCCAATCTATCTAAAACATGGGTAGTTTTGATTTGTTTGCTCCATTGGTACAACTCATAATATCATAAAATATCATAATATCATAAAATATCATAATATTATAAAAGAAGCGCAAAAGAAAGTGCTTCCTAAAATCCTAACCCGTTTTCTAAAAAACCAACATTGTTCCGTGTGGGAGAGGGGGATGATTGGTTTTGTCAGTGGAAATTGATGTCAGTGTTTCAAGACTTTTGGAAGGCATTGTAGAGCATACTGTATCGTATCTAGCTTTGAAACAGATGCTCAGAAGCTTTCTATGTGTTTCTTGATATCTGTATTAAACTGAATCCTGACAAATGTCATCTTTCGATTTTTGGGGAGAAAAACACTGACGTATCAGTGCAGATTGGTGCAACCACAATAACAGAATCTGATGAAGAAAAACTTTTAGGTGTAACTTTGGATAAGAACCTGGATTTCAAGAACCACGTAAACGCACGTAAACACACAAACGTAAAAAAGAGAGAATTAGAAGCAAACAAGAGAAGGTGCTGCTAAAGTCGGCGGCAGTGCAAGTCTCACGGGGACTGCAAATAATATGTGTAACAACAAAAACACCGAAAGAACTACTTTAATAAGTAATTTCCTCTAACCTCCTCATTGCATTGACTCTATTGTACTAACTCTATTGTATTGATTTTGTATATGTTAGCTCCATTTGTTTTGTAAAGTATTACTGATGAAAACTTCGGTCGAAACGATTAAGCGATAGTGTTTTTTCTGAGTATCTAAACATATATATTTATATAAATGCGTTCCCCCTCGACCCACTAAATATACTTCTTTGTACACAATTACCCTACTAGTGGAAAATCCTTAAAAATACCTCTCCACTTGAAAAACTATCAGCTCTACAGGGCTCAAGTAGAATTATTTCTGTCATCAGCTGACAACAGAATTGACATTAGTGCTTGATATCATGATCAAACACAAATTTTTCTTTGTGTTCAATATTTTTTGAAATCGTTGATTTTTGAAGATGTTATCTTGAAGACCTTTAAAGACGATTCTTGTTGGACTTTTTATGTTCTATTACAGGGGAAACGTACCACGCTTGATTTATTTTTATATACTATCTAATTATGTATCATTACACCCCATGGCTTTACACATGAGACTTAGCGATTTTGAGTAAAGATAACTAAATGTTTCCGTACAGCCAACCATTTTAAGCCGGTTCGCCATGATCACTTGTTGTGGGATGTACAGAACTTTGTAGTTTGTTGGCGCGAATAACCATGATTTCCCTTTGTTTGTAGTTAGTTTTATCTATATAGCAAATAGGTCATATTCCAAGTCTTGGTAGCTTTAACAAAACTATTATCACCGCAAATGATTTTATCATCAGCCTAAAAGATCCAGGAAACTTATACTGCCTGTCCAAAATTCATGAAATTTGTTTCTCTGATCATTGACTATGCTCTGATGAAATATTTATAGAGGACGTAATACCAGAAGGACTGGGATTCAATGTGGGAAGAGAAAAGATGAACGAACACGAAAGAAAAGATTATCGAGTTTATCGTTAAACAATAATGAGAGATATACAAACTGAATGTTATCAAAATAATGGCAAAAGCTAACAAATATAAGATTAAAAAAATGAAAAAAGTGATATTAATTACCATGATACACTTCTAAAGGTATGAAAACGAATTTTACACAACGCCTCATGTCGATTAAAGTTTAATTTCATGTCTTCCATTGCTCTTTTCCTATCTCCTGCAGCAACATCATTCCATCTTTAGGTAGAGAAACGAGGCTAAGATTACCATCAACGCGCAGAATGATAACTGAATCGAGACTGCGCTACTTGGGCTTTGTTTGAAAGAGCGGTAGATGGTTCGACCGTTTCTTTGTTGAATAGGACGATAATTGTTGCTAAGGTATTCCGTTTCATTTGCCGGCTTCATGGTTTTATGGTGAAGCAGCTTTCTGAAATCCGTCATCTGTCAATGCAGAATGCAAAACTTTGATAGTAATTACGAGAAAAGCTTTGAACCCGAAATCGCAATCAAACAACAATTAAAAAGTGAAACAAAAGAAATGTAGATCCCTTCCCAGAAATTTTCACAATGAATTCCTTAGTAAGTAACAAGGGACTATAAGTACCATCAAGATAAAATAAGTACCAGCCTTACTTTTTCTTGGTACCTTGTGCCAAAGGCAACTAAACTGACATACATTATAAAGAAAAGAAAGGTGTTTCTCAGCATGGTTACCAAAGAAGTTCTGTTTCAAAGGATGTCGCATTTTTAGCTATAGGGAAAGCAAAACGACATGTAGAATTTGGCGTAAAAAGAAAGATTTGGGCATGGATTCCATTAAGAATTAGATTGAGAATTAGATTGGCGCTTCCTTTGATCATGACACAGAAAACATTACCAAATAAAATCTTCACCCAGAAGAAATTAACTGTAGAGACAATAAAATTGTATTTGTACCTGTGCATGGGAGATAGTAATTTCCTTTGTAAAGACAACCCACTGAACCGCTTCACTACAAGGTGGAGTTGTAAGGGATCCATTGTAATGGTAGAAGGTGTTGTTGGGGACCATGAACGCATCGTTCAAAGGAAATGGCTGTATTTCCACTTTTGTTTCTGCAAAGTGTTAAAGAACATGAAGGGAAATAATCATTACCGAAAATGATTTGAGAATTTCCATTTTAGACTTTCTTTAAGGATGAGATTAGAAGATTAAACGACACTTGGAAGTAGATTTATCTTGCTATGCAAAGGCGAAGTCGAGGAAGTCAATAGAGTGATGACGTCACAAATTTGTTTTCTCTAAAATTGTTGAATATAGATTTGATGACAACGCGAAATCAAATATAGGTGTTAAGAATTAGAAGAAATTTATTAAGATATCCTATGTAATGTGGTCAAAATTGAAAAAAATACCGTGCACACTTGAGAGGTGTTGACAACGAACATAAAACTTTCAAATTACCTTAATCACAAAGACTCATTTACTGAAAAATTATGTACAACTTTGCGATTGTCGATAGTTTAAAAAGAGCGCTTTGCCGTTCATTTCGCCTTAATTGAAAACATAAACATAAAAAACTTTACCTATTTGTTTTCTGTAACAGCAACTATTTTATGGAATATTCAAATACAGATATTGATTTTAAATTTTGCACAGAGATTGATGTCAGCCCCGTAACCTCTCTTCTGGTAATACCCCCGTAACCTCTCTTCTGGTAACACCCCCGTAACCTCTCTTCTGGTAACACCCCCGTAACCTCTCTTCTGGTAATACCCCCGTAACCTCTCTTCTGGTAATACCCCCGTAACCTCTCTTCTGGTAACACCCCCGTAACCTCTCTTCTGGCTATACCCGCGTAACCTCTCTTCTGGTAACACCCCCGTAACCTCTCTTCTGGTAACACCCCCGTAACCTCTCTTCTGGTAATACCCCCGTAACCTCTCTCGAAACCCTTTCAACTTTCGTCAATCAACTCTCCTGAACCTCTACAAAAATCTATCAACTTTTAGGTAATTCTAAAAGAGTATTTTTCCGTAGCAACCATTTATTACGGTAGCAAAAGATATCAATGAGAGATTAACTTACTTCCCAGGGTGATATTCGACAAGAAAGGAGTCAGCTTGCTAATAAACGAGTTATTTTTGCCGTTTGGATCGATCTAAAAAAAAACAGTATACGTTGTTATTGGATTGTGATAAAATTCCGAATTTATCTATCCTTTTCTCAGTTAATAATTTTGTGGGCACGCTAAAATCACAATGGATCTAAGTGATCGCGGGAAGGATTTACTTTTTAATAATTTGGTGCTTAAAAGATTAACAAGGTAGGATTGTCTGCATTAGATACATTAGATCAAGATAGTACGAACCTCCATAACCGTACCGAATACCATCAAGCCATCGTATTTGGTAAGTGCAACAGACACATTGTCGTAGGCTGTATTCACGTGAACAAAATGCATCTACGAAGGCAAAAAATTCTAACTGGAACAAAAACCAGTATTCACCAATTATGTTTGGAATAAACCAATTCACATCTTTATTTAACAGTGCTGTCGAAACGAAATTCATATTGGAGTAGAGGGGGGGGTGGGGGTTGGGGGCGCTGTCTATTGTATTTCAGTATCGTGTTTATACTTCAGTATGAGAATTATTGGCTCCATCCCCCCCACCCGCTTCCGAAGGCCCTGTTTATATATAGCAGTATATATTGACGACCAGCAAGTAACACAGACTTGACAAGACTGATTTAGATAAACGGCAATCAAACTGACAGATTTCAGCACGGGGACTATTTTGAATTGGTTTCAACACAAAACATTGCGTTGAAAAACGATTTGGTTAGGCAAAACCCAATTGATTAGGGAATTTACACCATCAGAAATAGAAAAAAACATTTCTGGAGAAGACATTTGCTGAGTGATTTGTTATCAAACGACATAGGTAAAGTGCTGGTTGTAGAGTTCGCTGCTTTTTGTTACTTTGCTGTTTTCCAAAATATAATTATTTGATGCTAAGCAGCCAAGGCCTGAGAAAAATTGTATTTCATGGACTTCACATCAGGCTATTGCATGATCAGAATCAGTTAAATCGAATGAAATAGATATTGATATCCTTTTTTGCAATAATATCTCAAAATAAATAAGAAATCAGGAAATGAGAGACATTACCTCACCCGGATGGAGATGCGAATTTTGATATTTCATTGAATGCTCCGAGCCAACACTGTCGGTTGCTCCCCAATGAAAATGAATCTGCCATGGCCTGAAAATCTTACCTACGATCAACGCCAAGATGTCTCTTGTTTACAAATAATTAATCTTTCTACAGAATTGCAGTAGTTGGGAGAAATGGGCGGGTCGAGGAAAGCCCCCCCCCCTAAAGAACCAGTTTTTTTCGGAAAATTTCGTAAGCTTTAGTTATTTGTCAGAATTAAACAGCAAAATCTACCTTTAGTCCCCTTGATATATACCTCACACTGAAACCCCGATTTCGTTAAAATTGAAATCTGCCGCGAACAGTTACAGCTTACAACGGACACATCTTAGAGTATATCAGAACCAGTAAATTGAAGTTCAGGTTGGCTGTTCTTAATTTTTCACAAATCTTCGAGGCTGGAATGTTCTTAACTCGTTCTTATAATATTAGATTTTAAGCAGTTTACTCGCCAGCTATTGTGCTGAAGGGGCATGTTTAAAAAAAAAATGAGCCATGATTTTTTGCCAACAGGTTTGAAGATTGACAAAAAAGCACTCATAGAAAGCAAAAATGCCTTGTTTTTGACATTACCGTCTGTAAAAAAAATATAAAATATATATATAGAAAATGTAAATAGACTCGTTCTCCTTAAAAAGACAGGGCACTTCTTCACCTGTAGACTGAGAAGTGTGCCCTAAAAACTCTAATTATGTTGCGCGATTTAGTTTCAAACAGGCATGCTCTTAGAGAAAGGTTAAACTGCACAACATACCGAAAGCGCGAACGGACATCCCATTCCAATTTTTCAAAGACATCTGTAAAGTATGTCCATTATTTTCTAGTTGGAAGTTGGAGGATGAAGTTAGGCCATAGCCAGTGAATTGGAAAGGGCTGAAACTCTTGTAATTTGCTTCGGACTCTAGCAGATGGATCGGTGACTGGCGCCTCTTGTTGCAGGTTGGATAGCTTTTATACCAGTTTGCTGGGCCTAGGCGAAACAAGATTACCACGAGAAAATTATCGAATGTTGACTAAACCCAACAGTGAAGGACTTGGATTTTCAATATCAAAACGAAAATTTCTTGTTAATGATAAAAACGTGAAAAGGTAAAATGATGGCCTTTGATCGCCCTTCTAAGCTGGCTTTAATTTCGGGGCTTAAAACATGGCTTTTAAAAGAGCAAACAAACCCAGACAGATGTTTGCTGAAAACAAAAAGATGAAAACAATGGAAGTCTTGTTATTTGCTGTATCAACCAATCAGTGGATGCCAATTCAAAGAAAAGAGTCTTCGTACCTTCACTTCCACTGTAGCCCCAAGATGTTGCTGAAAAAAAGATACGATAGATCATATATAGAATTAAAAAGCAAAAAACTGCCTCAACATGAAATGTTTTATAAGCCTAGTCACGGACAGACAAAGCAGGTTACGCAAATCACAACCTTGTTGTTCTGGTTATACAGCAGAAGTATTATATAGCGTTTTTTTTTAAAATCTAGAAAACTGTGTAGATACTTGGAATATTGCGAACCTAGTCCTCTTTAAGGCAGTGAAAATGTTTGTTAGTGGTCAGCAAGTGATGTAAATGCCTTTATCATTACAAGGCCTTCCTGGGAATAAATTAGCACAAGTGTGGCATTTTGCAATCCTAGACTGGGGTAGGAGTGTAATGGAGTGTTTTTGATGTTTTACCCGATTAGACAGGAAATTTTCATAACAATCTAGCAAACTAGGTAACCGAAGTTTTCAAAGTTTAAATCATTAGAGTAAAAGCCACTGATCATTTTAAGCCCTGGGAACATTCTGGCAAATGACCGGAAGTTGCGTTTCCGGAAGCATGAAAAATGCACTGTCAGCAAAATTTAGACTTTCGAATTTTTTTCAAATCTGATGACACTATCGGGAAGAACATGCAAAACAGAGCAAAAGTTTCCTGATAGTGCAGTGTTTGGTACAAGCAGTGCCTCGGAAAGGATTTACGGGCCCCTGGTCAGGACGAAAAAAATAAATAGTAAGCATTCCTTTGGCAGACGCTTCTAAGGGGTGGGGGGAATGCTCCTCAGGAGTTTTTGAAAAGATGGTCGCTAAAATTGCTATGGTATCGTAACTGCTCTAGTGGCAGCGGCGTAGATAGAGGGAGGTCGGAGGGGGCAAACCCCCCTGTAGAGCTTAACTGCTATTTTGTTGGAAAACTTCTGGTCTTCTCAGAAATTTAACACGATTGTCTATGTTTATCTAACTGTTATGCTTTGAAAGGAATTAATTTAAAGCTAAAGAAACGCAAGAGCATCTGAATGTATCAAAAGATTTATTTATTTCAGTTCCGATGTCGTAATGTTATGTTAACACTAGTTTTGCATCTCATTTCATACAGCACGTCAAAAATTTCCTTTACTTCGTCTTTGACATTGAAATTGCCATAAAGAATAAATTCTATCTCTTATCAGAAGTTGAAAGGATGTGCTCTGCCTGGCGAGCCTCGATGCAGAGAGGAGATGGGGAAGAACTTTACAGCCCTCAATTTAACACTGTTTCCACTGGGAAGGAATTATCCTTTCCTTCCGGAATTGTGATCGATTGGAAGAAAAAAGGGCAGAAATTACAAATTAGAAAGAAAAATAGAGATTCTCTAAGAAATTGGGATAACATTTCTGATTTATAGATTAGAAAATGAAGTTGTCAGACAGTAAGCAGGCCAATCACAATGGAAATGTTTCAAGGTTTTTGCAAACTGTGGCTAGTAAACTGGCTTGGCAAATTCAATGTTATTACTGTACAAAAAGCTGTTTTTACAATTTCTAATTTGGATTACATAATCTGTTCATATGTAATGGCTACGTTATGGCAATTTAATCACAGGCTCTGTTCCGTCAAATCACACTAATTTTGTGTCTGTTCTAAATTTGATGAACCATGGCAGGATAGCAGCAATATATCATTTATTTGTCGTTGCTCGCAAAATTTGCAACAATTTAAATGATATTCCATATTTAGAAGTAATTCGTGGTGTTCTATTCAGTAATGTGTTACAAAATTAAAATAATGGCGTCACACCTAATAACTCTATTGTCACTACCCCCCGATTCTAAATGCATCGGAATTTTCGAAAAGTTTCGCAGCTCATTTTTCGAGGAAGGAAATTTTCGAAACCAAACAAGGAAAAGTTTGGAACTAGACAAAAGAATATAAGTTAATGAAGCGCGTGTGTTCAAGGTAACGCCAGTAACGATTTCTCGAGAAAGAAAGGCAAAATAACGAGTGAAAGCAATTAATCCATATAAATCTAGTAACAGGGAAATCGGAAGAATTTTCGTCAATTTTGGAAGGAATTTTAAGCAAATAGAAGGATGTTTTTGGGGAAACTGATTGAGTAAAAAGTGGAAACACAGCAGATTAAACATAGTAAATAACTCGATTCAAAAGCATTATGTCATCCTTTTAGTTTCCTGTGTTTTGATAAAAAGCAAATTATTAATTATAAAACAGGCGTGCTGCGGAGTGGGATCGCAAATAAGAAAACGAAACAAACACTACCTAGGATTGATGAAAATTGAAGAGACGACAAGTTTCAAATAACAGCTTTTGGCTTTCAAAATAAACAATACAGTCTGCAAATTCTTCTATTATCATAAACTGTTCATGAATCATAAACTTTGATTTCTTTTCTGTGGCATAACTGCGCAAAGTTAATCCTTAAATCGAGGATCAAAGGGGGTTTTTTGCAGCATAAAGGCATGTCTCTAATGTGCCGCATGCCGTGTAAAATTTGCTCAACACAATCTCAAATTGTCTTTTTTGTGAAGAAACAGCTGCTTTTATGAGTAATTAAAATACACTTTGTTGCATCCTTGAGCCACCCATTGGGTTTCAATGGATCCAACCTAGTTTTCACCCGGGAAGTAACTCTACTTTTCGTATTTCGTATCCAAAACAAGAGGTCCATAATAAAGAACTTAGTTGGGAGACTGAAGGGACACATTCAAGTGGGGGAATTAGGGGGCATTTTCGACAGAAAAGGGGCGTGGTCTAATTTTTTTTAATCTCTAGAGCATGGCACCGCAAATGCAAGTTACCTCCCTCGTATAGGGCCGCTGCGAGGAGGAGGCTAGAGGGCAATTTCCCCAATGGCCTTATAAAGTAATGAATTCCGTAATAAAAACACATTCAATCGGCGAATGGAAAAATAAGAAAGGGAGGAATTCGAGGATCTATGGTTTCATAAAGTATAAAGTTGTCTTGATCTAGTTGGGTGCCCTTACAACATGCTTCAGTGTTGCATCTTGCGAGGGGCAAATCAGTCCATGGAAATCGAGTGGCAGTTCTCGTACACCCTTTGTGAAAATGCTATTGTTTTATTAGAAAACCCATATAAATCCTTTTGTCTTTGTAATAATCTCTCACGCTATTTGGGAAAGTGAATTGCCCCTCGGCATTTGGACGCTAAATCAGATTGGACGCATGTAAATGCATTAAAATATAACCATTAACCGCAAATTGTTTTGGTCACGCTATGTTTTGGTTGCATTTGACCAGACACAAAGCAGCCAACAATTGAAAATGTATTCTTTATTCTGCCTTTGTCATTGCTATCGGAGCGGAGTAACTTTCATATCAGATAGGGGTTTGAGTTACACTACGCCACACCAATCCGATACACAACGCTCTGATTAGCGGAGTGAAAATCACTTCGCTCTGGAGGTGATACGAAAATCACTCCGTAGCGGAGCGTTGTAGTGTAATCGCACGAATCCGATATGCTCAACTTTGAAATAAACCAGTTTCTTATTGTTTTCTGCTTGAAGCAATTCGATCGATAGTGAACAATGGCGCTTTCTGAGATTTTGTTGCTGTTGGATAATGCCAAATCGAAATCGTCAAAACATTTTCGTATTTGGATTTCATCTCTTCAAGAATTTTAATGAAGTGCCCCTTGGACGAAAAAAAATACTTAAACATATCAGATAACATCTCGCTATCCTTCCTACGAACCCCATTATTTATCTCTCAGTCATTTTATGCATAGCTATTGAAAAAGGCTGTTTTCGTCATTTTATGCATAGCTATTGAAAAAGAATTCGCAACAGCACAAAGATCCGAAAATATCGTCAAAAAATTTAATCTGGTGGATTTGGTGTACCAGAAATGCAAAGGAATAAAGGCTTATGAGCGAGCGGAGCGTCGTAGTGTAACTGCTAACCTAAATATCACTCCGGAGTAAAAGTTACTCCGCTCTGCTCCGCTCCGATAGCAATCCGGTATAGTGTAACTCTAGCCAAAATCTGCTCCACGGAAGAAACAGTTGAGGTAGTTCAGAGTCGGAAGAAACACGTCTTAAAATGAATAAAGGATCATGCAAAGGTAGTTGCTCCGTTGGTTTAATTTAAACCCAAAAACAAGGTCCCCCTTAGGTAAAATTGTGCCTTGTGTCCTTTTTCCCTGAATTTTCATAGTAGAAGCGCCAACGGCAACTTACAACGAGCTCCAGATCTTTTTTAAGTTCAAAAGGAATGCAAAGATGGAAAATGGATCTAAATTGACAATCATTGAGTCCATACTGGAAAGTATAAAGTTGGTACGCCGCATATATACGCCAAAGTTAATCAATGTTGCGCCAACTTGCACCGGTACTCCACTCCACCCACTCCATCAAATGTAAACTATATGCAAACAGGGCCACATTAACATGTTTAGGGCCCCAGGCCCAGGCATATATTAACAAGTGTACTGTACTGAGAAAAAATAAATTTCATGAATCATTGAAAAATTAATTAGAAGCCTAAAACCTTTGCCTCTTCATGAATTTTTTGCTTAATTTTTTAAGATAAGAATGCGTCCTCAAATCAAAACAAACGTCTCAATTCTGGTTGCCGCAGAAGGGTGAGAAATTTGTGAATATGAGTGATTCCAGTTCCCTGGAGAATGCACTCTTTGAAGCGATTTTACCTAAGCAAAATAGTTGAATGTTGGAACAACGTCTTGATATCGGAACTTGTCTTGGAGTTGTGAATAAAAAAAGGAGTTCAATAACTGAATTTTCACCATGTGCCGTGGCCGAACATTACTAAGAATGGGCAGATAACTGCTTGGGGTCCCTATTTGTTCTAGATCTAGCATTCCTAAGGTACAGAGCCGCACTACCTACTCGAACCACGGGTCTGTAATCAGCGCCATCAGTTCGTGTACGCGGACCGTTTTGCATGCTAAATTCCACCATTCGTTTTAGTGCCCGATTGTTTAAGTGCTTGGGTACATTTTTGCATAACCAAAATTGCCCTTCGATTGTGTACGCGGACAGTTTTGCATACTAAATTCCACTATTAGTTTTGGTACCCTATTGTTTAAGTGCTTGGGTACGTTTTTGCATAACCAAAATTGCCATGCCTTTGTGTACCCGGACCGTAACGCATAAGGTTACCGAATAGGTAATGTGAAAACCCCCGTCTCAGGGCCTCGAGTACTGACAAGGAAACTGGCAACTCCCTAATAAAACTTGATAATGCATGTTGGCAAATATTTTTGGAATCCTGAAAAGGTTCTTCCTGCAGTTTCACTCTCAAACTTCCCTTTATTTAGAAATAATATACTTTCGTTTGAACTCCAAAAGTTCTATAAAATGCGGACACGACCAATAGGTTGAGCAAGGTAAACAACAGCTGTCATGAGGACAACGCTGGAAACATCCATGCTTTTCAAACTGTCCGAAACAGATCGCCAGCAGCTGCGACCTGCGAGCGAAAGCATTTGAGCTGCGAGTAAACAACAGTAGTATAGAATAGAACTTTACGGATACTATGAGCTAGGCTATCCGTAATCCAGTGCAAGAAATCCAGCGTAGCATTTGCCGAGCATTTGCAAGTTTTTTAGCCTGGTCAAAGGATAACATTATAGAAAGTTTGTTCAAAGATCAGTACAATTGAAGCTAACGAGGTTGGAGTGACACTGTCTACCAGAAATGAGGCAGAATTGTTTAAAAGACATAACATTTTGTGATGTCAGACCCACAACAATTCAACTACTTTAGTAAATCTTGGATCCAGCATTCGAGTTCAGTTTGGTTCATTTTGTAACGGCTTGCTTCAAAAATAATATTTTGAGTTAGAAGAATTTGACTTACCTTGTTGCACTTGGCAAACACTGGCAAACAGCACAAAGAAGACTTCAAGACTCATCGCGTAAATTGAAGTACCTGTTACTGAACCTTGGAACTTGCTGAAAGAACTGATGTGAGTCGCTGAGCCCTTTTGTAGTCCTTCCTTCTTTGTCTTGCTCTCCCTTTTGTCTTGTTCAAAACTGTGTCTTTTACCCCCTTTTGTCTCTTTTTCTGTGTTCCCGCGCTTGTCTTGTTCCTCCCAAGTTATGTTTTGTCAAGGGAATCACTGCATTTGCACGCCCTGTCTCCTCCGATGCGTCCCTGGCAACATCCAGCAGCGGTCGTTTTGAGTGCTAAACGGGTGTGATCCAGGGTTGCCAAGTGCTGGCAAGTCCTCAATCCCAAAGTTTCTGAATCCCAAATCAATCCCAAATCAATCCCAAATCAATCCCAAAAGTAGATTCCTTCGCAGAGCTTATAGAAAGGAATAGACATTCCTCTGCAGCCTTGCCTTCTATATTTCCTGTGTAACGAATTACGCATTATTCAGGGACGCCTGCACAAGATTAGGGCAGAAAGGGCAGTGTTGGTGCCGTGGGCAAATCGCGAAACTTTTCGTCTAACAGAATCGGGCATTTCTAGGTGGGAGAGGGGTGAGGGTGGGGTAACGTAATAAAATATTAACTTAGAATATTCGGTGTTTTTACTAACAAAGATTCTAAACGAAATTATCCATTATCGCTATCAAAACCAAAATCAAATTGTTATGGTATAGAAAGTACAACCTTTATGGGATCCAAGCTCTGGCAAGAGCTAACAAATGACATTAAAACATCTTCTAGCCTCGCAATATTTAAGAAAATGATTAAAACTTGGAAAGATACAAAATGCAACTGCAGACTATGCAAACCATACGTTGCGCAGATTGGATTCTTGAAATAGTCATCGAATAATTGTATATTTTTATCTAATGAGTCATCCTTTTAATTTTGTACATTTTCTATATCATTTATCCATTCATTGTGATTAATTCAAGATTTGTAAATGTAGTATAAATAGTAGGCTTTAATTAGCTGTTATATTAGCTAAAAAAATTTGCTTCGCCTACTGTAAATTATTTTATAATAATAATAATGGAAACTTTTCATTTTCAATTCAATTAAAACTACAATTACAAATTTCACTATTACAGAGGTAATTTGCAATTAGCTAGCCTGGGTTTACAAAGAAAAAGACTATTACAAGCACAAGCAAAAGTAATTAATAATAATAATAATAATAATAAAAATAATAATAA